GCCATCACGACGCCAGACACGCTCGCAAGCTTGCACCTAGCTGCCCATCCTACCGACCAGCAGCCGCTGCTTTCGACAATCAAGGACTTCGTCCGCGAAGAGGTAGCGCGCCAGCTGTCACTGCTGCCACTGACACATGAGCCCACGCAAGCTTTGGCACCGGACCTCCAACACGTCATTCGGACCCAAGTCGCTGAAGCCCTTCCGCCGGTGCATCAGCAACCACCAGTCACAACGCCTCTCACGTACGCCGCCGTCGCTGCTCGGCCTACGCAACAGCGTATGCCGTATGCTCAACCTGCCACGCCACCCTATGTCGTGCCTACAACCCCAATTGCGGCGCCGTATCCCTACGCGAGATCTCCAGCTCCATTTTACCGTCGCTCAGACGCTTGGAGAACGCCAGATAATAGGCCCATCTGTTTCGCCTGTGGTATCGCTGGACACGTCGCCCGCCACTGTCGCCAAGATCCCCCTCCAGTCGACGCCGTGGGCCAGCCAATGGCGTCGTCGTCTAGGACGCCATCAAGGTACACCACTGACGGTCCTCGACCCTACGCAAACCATCGGTCACCATCGCCACGACGACGCTCCCTGTCACCTATGCGTCGCCGACCTGCTACGGAAGAGGGAAACTGATCGCTGCAGCTCCGGAGGCAACAGCTGCATACAATTCGAACTGCTTAAGGCCTCCATCTTTCTCGCCGCAAAACGTTATTGACGTCAATGTTGAGGGGACCACCGCACAAGCGCTTATCGACACAGGGGCCGCCGTTTCCATAATCTGTGAGCCCTTATGCCGCAAGTTGAAAAAGGTGACGACGCCTCTTTCGGGCCTGATGCTCCACACGGCCAACTCGCAGTGCATAGAACCTACAGCTGTGTGCACTGCACGTGTCATTATCCAAGGTGAACTTTATGCCATTGAATTTTTTGTGCTGGCATCCTGCTCCCACGAAGTCATTCTTGGATGGGACTTTCTTTCGCGTCATCGGGCCATCATAGATTGCTCACGTGCAGAAGTTGCCCTTACACCGCTGCCAACCTCTTGTTTTGTGGATTGTCTTCCTGAACCTTACAAACTTGTCGTTGTTGCAGACACGGAAATAGCACCGAGAACATCCGCCCTTGTAGCCCTGACCTCTACGGCCGCTCCTGCCGGAACTGTTTTGTTCACTCCGTCTGACGTATTTACCCACCGCCGTAGCCTACACCTGCCCTTTGCCGTACTCACCTTGGAATCCGGTGCTACCGCCATGCTCGTCGCGAACTCGCTATCGTCGCCAGTTACCTTACTTCGCGGAGAATGTTTGGGTAACATACAAGACGTTGACTTCTTGCGCCCTCTAGAGTTCGCCGAACACGCACCTCACCTCCAGCTCAATGCTATGACGCCACCTGTGGCCACAAAGCCCGCGCCAGACTCATTCCAGCCCTCTGTTGCCGCTGAGCTATCGCCGACACAAAGAAGCGAACTCTTGTCCCTTCTTCGAGAGTTCCGTTCTGCCTTCGATTGCGCTCAACCATCTTTGGGTCGCACAGCGAACATCACGCACCACATTGACACCGGTACTCATGCTCCCTTACGCCAACGACCATATCGAGTTTCCGCGGAAGAGCGCCGTATTATCAACGAACAAGTCGATGATATGCTCAAGCGTGGTGTCATCCAGCCATCGCAGAGCCCTTGGTCGTCCCCTGTTGTACTTGTGCGCAAAAAGGATGGGTCTATCCGATTCTGTGTCGACTACCGCCGGCTCAATAAGATAACTCGGAAGGATGTGTACCCGTTGCCACGCATCGACGACGCTCTCGATTGCTTGCAAGGGGCAGAATATTTCTCCTCCTTAGATTTACGCTCAGGATATTGGCAAGTTCCAATGGCTGATCCTGACCGATCGAAGACTGCATTTGTAACACCTGATGGGCTGTATGAGTTTAATGTCATGCCGTTTGGACTCTGCAATGCCCCAGCTACCTTCGAACGGATGATGGACACCATCCTTCGCGGCTACAAGTGGAACACGTGCCTTTGCTACCTAGACGATATCGTCGTTTTTTCTCGCGACTTTTCCACTCACCTTGTTCGTCTTCGTGCTATTCTCACGTGTCTCACCTCTGCTGGCCTTCAACTTAACATTAAGAAGTGCCATTTTGCCGCACGTCAGCTCACCATACTGGGTCACGTCGTCTGCAAAGAGGGTGTTCTCCCGGATCCGGCGAAACTCCGCGCCGTGGCCGACTATCCGAAGCCCAATTCCATCAAGACGCTTCGAAGTTTTATCGGCCTGTGCTCATACTTTCGTCGATTTGTGCGCAACTTCTCTTCCATCATCGCGCCTCTTACCAACCTGTTGACAACTTCCAAAGGCATTTCTGCTTGGTCAAATGAGTGCGACGAATCCTTCACCGCGCTTCGGCGGTTATTATTATCACCTCCAATTCTACGACATTTTGACCCTGATGCGCCTACGGAGGTCCACACCGACGCCAGTGGTGTCGGTCTTGGTGCTGTATTGGCTCAACGAAAACCAGGGCACCAAGAATACGTGGTCGCTTACGCGAGTCGAACCCTCAAGAAAGCCGAGTGTAATTATTCCGTCACGGAGAAAGAGTGCCTCGCAATTGTCTGGGCTTTGACGAAGTTCCGCCCATACCTTTATGGCCGCCCTTTCGAAGTCGTTACGGACCACCACGCTCTATGCTGGCTATCATCGCTCAAAGACCCGTCGGGGCGCCTTGGTCGTTGGGCGCTTCGCCTACAGGAATACGACATTCGTGTTGTATACCGATCCGGCCGCAAGCACTCCGACGCTGATGCGCTATCCCGCTCGCCGCTACCGGCTGACCCAGCCTCCTCGTCACCTTCTTCAGCTGTCATAACACCAATCGACTTCACAGACATGGCATCGGAACAACGCAAAGATGTGTGGATTTCCCAACTCCTCGCCTTTTTGACTGATCCGTTAGCTAATTTAGTGTCAAGAACTATCCGCCGTCAAGCCACACATTTCGCTATTCGAGACGACCTACTCTATCGGCGGAATTACACGTCTGAAGGTAGGAAGTGGCTGTTAGTGATACCCAACCACATGCGCTCGGAAATCTGTACTGCTTTCCACAACGACCCGCAAAGCGCTCACGCTGGCGCTCTCAAAACGTACAACCGTCTACGTCAGCGGTACTACTGGCGCGGCATGTACACATTTGTCCGCAAGTACGTACGTGCTTGTACTGCATGCCAGCGACGTAAAGTCCCACCTCAACGCCCTGCCGGTACACTTCAGCCTCTGCCTTGTCCAGCGCGTCCGTTTGACCGCGTCGGTATCGACTTATACGGACCACTTCCCACGTCGTCTTCTGGAAATAGGTGGATAATTGTCGGCGTGGACCACCTCACGCGTTACGCGGAGACAGCAGCACTACCCGCAGCAACCGCGAGGGAAGTTGCGTTTTTCATCTTGCGCAACTTTGTTCTTCGCCATGGTGCTCCCCGCGAACTTTTGAGCGACCGGGGGCGTGTTTTCTTGTCTGACGCCATTCAAGCGTTGCTCGCTCAGTGCAACATGGTTCATCGCCTGACGACAGCATATCACCCGCAGACGAATGGCCTCACAGAACGATTTAATCGCACTCTCGGTGATATGTTGACGATGTACACAGCTTCAGACCAGACTAATTGGGACACTGTCCTTCCATTCGTCACGTATGCGTATAACACCGCTACGCACGCGACAACAGGATTCTCCCCTTTCTTTCTGTTGTACGGACGCGAACCATCGTGCACGCTGGACACTATCCTCCCATACACGCCCGACTCCTCTGAGTACACTGCAATTTCTGATGTTGCCAGGTACGCAGAAGATTGCAGACGATTGGCCCGTTCTCTGACAACCGAGGACCAAGGCCACCAGAAGCTACGGCTTGACACCGGCCGACATCTCTCTACTTTCACGACTGGTGCTCTCGTTTGGCTCTGGGTTCCACCGAGCACTCCTGGCCTTTCGTCGAAATTACTGGCACGATACCACGGGCCCTACCGCATTCTCGCCCGTACGTCACCCGTCAATTATGAGATTGAGCCATTGACACAGTCTCATGACTTACGCCGTCGTGGCCGAGAAATTGTGCATGTGAGTCGCCTGAAGCCGTATTACGACCCCGCTATAGTGACTACGCCTTAAGTCGCCAGGTTGGCTACGCTATTCACAGGGGGCCAATGTAGGGAACTATGCGAACGACGACGAAGCAGCATGAAACGGCAAGCCACAGCGTTGGTGCACGCGCGACCCGAGCTTGCGTTTGTTTTGTATTTTCGGCCTGTTGGCGTTCCTCGCTCTTCTGGCGTTCCTCGGCCTTCCAGTAGGTCTGTACGTGAATAAACTGCGTGACACTAGGAATATTGCTGAAATGACCGGACGTTCATCAGACATGCATTGCCTTATATGAGGCTTCACATTAGATAGTTTTAGTGCTGGGGCCCCAAGCGGCTTGCATATGTGAGCCCTTGTGTTCCTTTGTATTTTCCAATGGTACAGTGGTGAATACAAAGGAACGCAACAGCGTACGCACGCAGGCAATTTGGAAGTATAGCGACACTAAATTTCTTAACACAATGTTTGTCCATGCGATTGGTGAAGGGCACCATGTACGCACTACATTTAAGCTAGCTTCGATTTATTGCACATGACAAGAGCGAACATTGTATTATAGCACGCAAACAAGATTGTGCCTGTATTGAACATACTCCTTCGTACAGAAGCGTAGCCAGGGGTTGGCACACCTGGCCCATGCCCCCTTGAAATATTTTTTTGCCATGGAATAGATAGCGCAAAATGACCATTTGCCTGCCCTGTGCCCTCTCCCCCCTTCCTCCCGAAAAAAATTTTGCCTGTACCCTTGCTAGGTTTAATGCTTCGGTATCAACAACTTTCCTGGCTTTTCTGACAACGTAGTATGCTGCAACTAAGCTGTCAAGCAAATAAGGATGTAGCAGAGAGTACACAGTGCTGCAATCTATGTTTATTTTAAAGAATTCGACTGAGTTTTGAAAAAAAAAATATAAGCTTTCACATGAAAAGTCATGAACAATGACGATCATATGATGCTCTTCTGGTCTCGTCAAACAAAGTGCACTGGCGGTCGCATTAGCAGGCGCAGTCCCAGGCGCAATGTCTTGCACTGACAGCAGTGAAGAAAAGCTGCATACAAAAAAAACGTAAGTAAGCTACGTATGAGTCCGAAAGCATAAGACAGATTTCCAATTACAGATCTTATAAAATGCCGTCATGTATTTGTAAATAACAATCAATCGTAACTGCACTCGGGCGAGGCACGTGTGTGCCGTAGAAACATTGCACTTCGTTGGTGTCCGGCCGGCATAGTTGTAAGCTTGCTTGCCAACAAGTATGTCAGCTTGTTGCCCTCACAAACACGCCCACAAACGTGAGCTGTATCACACAGAAGAACAAGATTATCCAAAATAGGTCGAGTTAGTCTGGCTTACTATTCGCACCGGCGTGTGTTCTATATATAGCTACGTGTTCGACCAAGATTCAACTGCGAGCAAACAACTGTCATACTTGCCGTTTTATTTACAATTTTAAAATGCTCCAGTAACAAAATGATGAAAAGTCAGGGGCACATAATTGGACTTACCGAAAGAAGTACGTTATCCGAATGGGCGACATTTTAGCTGCGTCCTATGTCTGCAACGAAGATGGCAAGCACATCCGACCATTGAATTGAAATTACCCGTCGTTGAAAACACACAGTAAAACTTGTTTCACAAGACACTGGTGCGAAATATGCAGAAAACAGAATGCAAATTGTTACTTGACTCTGGATAACAGCTGCAGTAATACGTAAAGGTAAGCTGAACATGCCAAGCGATGACCGCCGGCCTACTGATTGAGCCACCGCACATCATTGGGGGAGGAGGACAAGTTTCGCGGCCGCTGGATAAAAAACACAGTCATGCAAATTTCAACATGCGGGACATTATACTGCGTCACCGCTTACCCGAAGTCATGCAGTGCCGGAAACTGATGCGAGCTGGCATGTGCGCCAATGAGCGTCTGTGCTTTGGTCACGTGTCGCACCCGTTATTGTATCGGTTGCAGTTGCGTGGGCCTGTTGCAGCAAGCGTTGTTATACAAGCGCCTTGGCTGGAAAAGAATATGTCACACGCACATACGGCCACCCATTTTTTTAACCTGAATGCACTAGCGTTGACCGCTCAGTCTATGAAAGCTGTATTAACTAAGCGCAGGGGCAAAATTATATAACGACAATACGTGCACACATGCTATTAACAGTGTTCAGCTGTTGTCTCCTAGGCTGCTCTGAGATCCGTACAGCGAGACCGGGAATAAAGAATTATTGACTTGGCGCTCGGTGCTCGCACGTTCAGGTTGAAAAAAAATGGGCAGCTCTACACTCTTGCTTGAAGTATCGAATCAATTATTTTGGGGAGGTTTGTAATTTCGTCATTAGCTAGAAAAATCGATGGTCACTGCTCTTTCGAACTGACGTATGGGGCATTTTGGCACTTTCTCAACACAATTTTCTCAGAACAATTGAGGTGGACGTTGAACACTGGCTCTGTATAGCGCCTAAACAATGTCTTGAAGTACACGTTAAGAAATTGTTTGGCAAATCAGGCTATATTGGAGTTGTGAAAAAATACTAATAAACTGCAAGCGAACACGGTCCTTTCGAAAAGTCTTAAGGGTTTGTTTTTTGGGATGTCTCGTGGATGTCCATGTGCTGTCCAAATTATTGCATCAACGTGAAATCTTTTGTAAGATATTCTTCGGATGTTCCAGGCAGAAAACAAAATAGACGTATAGAACAATAAAAATGTAACGGCCTTAGATCCTCCCTTGGATAATCAACTCTGGATGTTGACGTTTGGCTATAACTCGAATGTCCACCGGATTTTTGTGGCCCATTGGGAGGTGGCCCTGGGAGTTTTCAACAAGCGGCAGTGAGTCCCTTCACGATCTTGGCTTCCTTGCGTTACTCACATTGCGCCAGCAGCCCTGTTTTGGGTGATTCTTCGATGTCTGCACATGCTTTTCACGTCGCAACGAAGGAGTGCTTTGAACAGTTCAACCAGTGGTTCTTCAGATGAACAGTTCAACCAGTGGTTCTTCAGGATGCGGTGAAAGTGTATAGGCATCCTGCAAGGTCAAGGTAGTTTCCCTCAATGTTTCTAGTGGCCCAGTGAGGTTGGAGGCATTGGCTTGCACCATAGCCAGGAAAGACCAAGAGCAAGACCAAGGAAAGACTTCGTGCCTTCAAACTTTCCGTACTTTCTCAACTTGTCAGCTGTTCACACACACAAGCACGCACGCATACACATGCAGACAAATATACAAAGAAAAATGAACTGGACCTGACATGAAGGGCGGAAAGCGTGCAAGGACAGCTACTTTGGTTGCTCAAAGTAAACATGCCTGCTCATTTTATTTGCATCTTGATTTTGCAGTCACAAAAAGCGTCAGTTTTTCACTCACAAACAATGATGCTGATGTTGGCATTGCTGCGAAACGTGCGCTTAAACGCTGTTGCGTTAGAAATTGGAGCTGATAAGTATGCACTGGAACACATCCACTTGATTGCGAACGGCCATTTGGCACGGAGTGGCCTTAAACGAGAGCGCAGTGAGGACGGCGAGCACATTTTTTCTTCTCCCCTAGTGGAGTTTCACGACAAAGGCATTAGTCCTGTGCCAGATTTCGTAAAGTTTTCAGGGCGCCCAAGCGAGTGCAATTTCGCCTCCTCAAGAATTCTTGCTTCGTGGCCAACGGTTTGGTTGTGTATGTTTTAAAAATGTGATCTATGTGGCTCGTGTAGATCAGTGTTGTTGCCACCAACAGAGAGCGAAGTGTGTTTATAACAGATGCAGTTCTCGCTAATGTAACTGAACATCCTGGCCAGCAACTCAGCAGGAGGATTATACATTGAAGGTGCTATTATTGAAGCCACAGTATACAGTTCCAAGTTGTGAAATTCACTTGAAGAACAGCCTATCCTCATTTTTCTGTAAATTTCTCTTTCGGTCAAGGAAATGCACTATGCATAAGTGTTAGAAACCAGCAAGCAACGTCCCCACAGCCATCTATTCGCCAACATTCACCCAACTGTTTCATCATTACAGCACACTGCACATTGTGTAGGGGAGCCTCAATGCATGCCTCCCTGTTGGCACAGCGAGGGCACATGCGCGAATCAGCTGACACAACCAAATAGCTTGAAAACAATAAACAATATATTTTTTCTAGCAGTTACATAAAAAATAGCCGCTAAGTATAGAATTAGCCAGAGAGTAGCCGTGGTGAAATGTTAATTTTCAAAAGAGGTTTTAAAGTAGCCAATTTGCATGCCCAGGGATAATGAGCCTTCCTTGCCGGAAAAGTGTCTGCATGCCGGGTTCTCCCATCGCTGCCCATGATATGCTCAATCAGGACTGTGTATGCCATAGGCTAGACTTGTAGCTGTCCTGTTCACCTCATTGGTACAGGCAGACAGGAAACCCTACTATTGTCAGTAACCCTACTTACCACTCCTCTGTACAAATTATGTGACAATAAAATGAGTGGGCTATTTGCCTGCCAATATGTACTGCAATTACTGCTAGCCAGGGTTTTTGTCACAGATTGGTGTTTCTTTTTTACACAGACCTTGTCAGGGCAATGCATACCTCAGGTGCACTCATGGACCACGCAGTTTAGAATGTCATTTTTAATGTTGCAAACATTATTTAGAATTCCAGTATTTGGTTGCATCACAACATACAGTTTATGCTGTTCAAGTGTACCTCCCTGAATAGTGCATGTTATTGGCAAACAGGGCAGCCAAGAAAGCTGCAAGCTTATAGCAAATGATTGAGTGTGGTAGCTCCAGTGCCAAGTACTTTGTGTTTTGTAGCTGTGCTTAGGATTTGAATTGTAAGGCTGCCAGCAGGCTGCAATGATTTCAAACTTTTGTTTTCATTTGTGCAGGAAGACTTATATTCATCACTTTATGGTCAAGAATACTATAGAGGAACGGATTGCCGGCTTCTTCAGGTCAACACAGGCATCTCAGAGCTCCTTAGAAGACCATGCAAAGATGACTATCAACGATTTGAAGAACCTATTCAAGTGAACTTGATATACTTCATTTTCATTACGCAGCAACACGTCATTGGTAATGTTCAATTTAAAAGAGCAGTTGAAAGTGTTTGGACAACTAGTTGATTTGGATTAAACAAGATTGCGTTTTCTCTGTGTTTTTCAAATAGTAGTGGCTGCTGCTTCAAGTCTTCATTTGCAATAATAATTTGCATTTTCATAATCTCAATTTTTGTTACCCCTATTTTTATTTCTTACATTCTTAGTGCTTGAATGTTTTTACAAGTCATTTTAAGCTTTTATGTTTATATCTTTATTCCTCTACTTCATCCGAAAATTCAACATTGTACCACCTTCAAAGTTGTGGGTGGAGTAGTGTTTTCGCATGGATCATTCACACAAGGCACTTGAAGTCTTCAATAATGTGATGCAGCATGGAGCTGCCTTGTTCCTAATGCTGGAGCTTTACAAGAATACGAAACGTCGCGTGTCAAAGGGCAGCCTAGTTACATGTTTGGGAATGCTAATGTAGTAAGTGAGTGCAAAACGAACATGCACAGGGTAAAATAAAAAACAAAATTTACTGGCATCATGCATCTAAAAATAGTTATAAAAATATAAATAACTCACGCAGCCAACTGAAATACATGGGTGCAATGATCGCATTAGTTGCCACTATGGCCTTTTTATACGCGGTTTACACCCTTAAGCACGTGTCTTTGTTTAACAATTTGTCAGTCACAGTTAACACTTTATTATGGATTGGGCACAGTAAAGGGCTTGGCCGTACCAGCAGTATTGTTGGCTGAGTTCATTTCTGAAGTAGCGTACAGCAGCAAAGTTGTGTGCTAAGTTTGTGTTATGTTCAGACATATGAAAAAAAGCACAGATATACATATTAAAAATCAAAATACCCACATTCTTGCTTTTCAAGCTAAATACCTATCAACAACGAAAATACTGTGTGTGGAAATGTGAAAGTGTTATTTAAATCACACTAAAGAATTGTCAAATACAAATATCTCCTATGTTCAGGGGTGGTCAAAAGTTCCTAGGCTACATTTACAATTTTTCACAGCTGGTTTGTTTTATCAAAACTAGATGGCACCATCTCTGTGTAGCAGCCATCTCCACACCATAGCCTATGGCAGCGCTACTCAATAGTATGTCTCCCTCTGCATTGTGTCGTCTGCTTGGTGTTCCCATGGGAACCAATGGTATAGTTTTGACGGTGCAGCAAGTGCCGCACTGGTGAACAGACGAGAGCAGCGACTGGTAGAGGCAGTGCGGGCGTACATCGTCAAAATGAAACCAAAGGTGGCTGTGGGTACTGCCATAGACATGCGCATGGGGGCGCAAGGTCAGCCCCATACATTGGCATAATAGGGAGGGGGGGTGCTGCAACGGTGTACCTTGGGTACGCCAGTGCTCTTCCCCTCCCCAAGCCACGATGCAACATATTGGTTTGCACCCCTTAGAGAAAATCCTGATGATGACCATGCACTCTCCAGCGAAAATTCTAATAGAAAAACCAACAGCCTATTGGGTTAGGGACACCTATAGGTCTGTTGGTTTATTCGTCATATTGATCTATAGGGCTATTGGAAATATATTGGTTTATTTGTTCCGTATAAGCCCATCAGGAATACATTGGTATTTGTTCTGTATCAGTCAATTGGAACTGTATTGGCATATTGGTTCTCTATTTGCCTAATGGCATTGTATTGGTTTTGTATATGGCTATTGGTAATGCATTGGTTATGTACTTGGCTATTAATCAGTCATTACTGTATTATTATTATTACTTGTAAAAGACTATGTCTACTTAGGGCAAGTAATAACCGCAGAGCCGAACCACGAGATTGAAGTAACTAGAAGAATAAGAATGGGGGGGAGCACATTCGGCAAGCACTCTCAAATTATGACAGGTAGATTGCCACTATCCCTCAAGAGAAAGGTATATAACAGCTGTATCTTGCCGGTACTTAGCTACGGAGCAGAAACCTGGAGACTTACAAAGAGGGTTCAGCTTAAATTGAGGACGACGCAGCGAGCAATGGAAAGAAAAATGGTAGGTGTAACCTTAAGAGACAAGAAGAGAGCAGAGTGGATTAGAGAACAAACGGGGGTTAAGGATATCATAGCTGAAATCAAGAAAAAGAAATGGACATGGGCAGGGCATGTAGCGCGTAGACAGGATAACCGCTGGTCATTAAGGGTAACTGACTGGATTCCCAGAGAAGGGAAGCGGGTTAGGGGGAGACAGAGGGTTAGATGGGCAGATGAGATTAAGAAGTTTGCGGGTATAAATTGGCAGCAGCAAGCACAGGACCGGGTTAACTGGCGGAACATGGGAGAGGCCTTTGTCCTGCAGTGGACGTAGTCAGGCTGATGATGATGATGATGACTGTATTATAATCAGTATAACGTAAGTGTTTCATGGATGTCCTGTGATCATGCAGAAAGGCCACAATACAGCAGCGCTCCTGCAGTGGTAATCACAGTGGATATGAGGCATATAGTCAAATATACATATTCTCATAATCAAGACTACATGTCCTTCTTCCATTACCTCAAGCTGTCAGCGATATTGAAAGCGACTATTTTGCCAAGGCAACTGTGTCTTATGTCAATTTCTTCTGCTTCCACATTGGCACCAAAAAAGTGCCTGAAAAATCCGGAGAAAAAAAATTGTTTAAACAGAGTCACAAAATTGAACAACTGTAACACTTTGATTAAAGTATAACTTTGATGGCAAAGTGTAGAAAGTTGTGGGCACAGTCAAAAATTATTGAGAGGCTTCATTCACCGCATATGTTCGCAAAATACTGAGTGACATATGACACACGCAACTGTGGGTGATTGCATGAATTAAAAGTCTAGCGGCAAAATTTGCGGCAATAAAGGAATAAAAAGAAGAGATGGGCAAAATGAAAAAAAAAAAAGATAGCGCATCGTTCCTCTTAGATACTTGCATCTTGTGTACTTTGAGCTGTACCCAAGAATGAACTGCCAACTTCATTAAGCTTTTACCTTGTGGTGTTTTGAATTACAGCAAACTCAGTTACAGTCGAACATGGATATATCGAACTCGAAGGGGATCGTGAATTAGTTCTATATATGAAAAATTTGATATAAAATTTAGAGGCCCCGAGAGCTTATCTGTAGTGGATCATCACCTATTATAGGCGCAATCAAGATTGACAAGTGATTCCACATACACGCTGCAACAGAATGATTTATTTGTGTGAAAGAAATCGCTAATCTTGGCCTGCTACTTCGTTTTTGAAATGTTGAAAACGCTAGTCTTGATCTTATCCAAGCTGTCCAGGTGCGACAGCCCGGCTCCCTCCATGTGGCCAATACAACGGCAAATGATGGTGTTGGTGGTAGTGGTTAATAGAGATAAAAGGTGCCAAGTTTTTGCAGCCTGGTAGGGAGCACGACGCTGCTGCCACTTCAGCAGCGAAGTACGCGCAGGTAGCCAGCGCCTCGTCCGAACGATTCTCCTCGTCATATGAGTTGTCGGCTTGGACATTGCAGTCCGCTTTCATGAAGTCGTCTGTAGACACTTCGTGTGGAACTGCTGGCGGGAAATGGGACGAAAACTCACGAAATGTGTCGTCTATTCGCTCGTAGTCGTCTTCTTCACCGGTTTCAAGTTCCGGCGCTCTTAGCTTGCCTTGCAGAAGCAGTTGACCTCTGTGTCCATCTTCACATTTGGCCAGGCATTAAAGATCTTTGCGGGAAAAAAAATTTGCGGAGATTTTCGGCCACTTCTTCATCATCCACTGCTCGATGTCCTGGCAGCTGACAGCTTGGCTTTTACTAGAATTTGTTTTGCCAACGATGTTGTAGCGCTGCTCAAATCGGTGAAGCCACCCGAAGTTGTTGGCGAAGTTGTTTCACCAAGTGCAGTGGCAAACCGTTTGGCCTTGGCGATCAGCATCGGGCCATCCACCAGAATGTTCCTCGCGTGCGCTTCTAAAAACCAGGCATATAGTGCCTTTTATACATTCCCGGTCACAAAAGCACGCATATGACTGGCTTCGGACGGTCGCTGCTCCGATGCCTTTGCATTGATATCTGCCTTGTTTTTCAACGAAATACTCAGAGTGCTTCGTGATATCCCAAAGTCTTCCACGACGGTCAAACATTTCTCGCCCACTTCAACACGCAACTTTGTCGCTAAGTCAAGGGTCTTGCGCTTCTTTACTCTGGTCATAGCTGCACAAAAAGTCGACGATTCAAGGAGTTCGCAGCGGCTTCGCAACACCACGCACACAATAAAGAAATGCTGCACATGTGGTGGTACGTAGGCGACACGACAGCGAAAGCAACGAAGCGCTTGCGAGGCAATGGCCACCAGCGAAAGGCACGAGCTGTGGTTGGCTGATCAAAACTCACAAAACAGCAACAAAAATAAAAGAAAAAGCAAAAGGAGAAGGAGGTCAACTCCTTCATTAATGCTCTCCGGCCCTACGGGTACGCGGAGAAAGAATGAGAGAGAGAAAGAGAAATTAGAAAAAAAACTGCGGAGTTCGATATATCCGAAGGTGGGTAAAAATACCATTCGATATAAATGTGCAAATTTCTGTACTTTTACAAAGGAATTTCAAAGGAATAACTTTTAAAAAAAGTTCGATATACACGAAAATTCTATATATGTGGGTTCGATATAACCGTGTTCGACTGTATCTCAATCTCTAACGTTATATTTTTCGCACGATCTGTGACACGGCCCTTCTTCTCTTTTTTTGGGATGGTGGTTCGGGTATCATACCTTAGCACGAAATAAATCAGGCTATGGCAGATTTACCATGAGACAATGAAAAATATAACACACTACTTAAGGCAGCCTATATTTCATATTGTTGCATGCCCAACTCAAGAGTCAGGTTGCAATGAGCTGGATAACACACATGCTGCACGCAGTTATGCAGCTAATGCTACAGCATTAATAAATCGCTACTTTGTAATGTGTGCTACGCTTACTTTGAAATTGTCGTGTTGACTTCATGCAGTTCTTTTGATGTAATGTCGAACAAGTTTGATAAGCGGATTGTTACTCACTTCATCATAAAAACCATGACGACTACAGCATTCATTATGAGGCGATGAACGCGTCTTGGCTCAACACGCACATTGTACACACAGTGTAAAAGTCTTTCCAAGACTTCAACTACACTCACGAGCAGAGCTCCAGTCCTTCGCCCATACTCTTTTTTGTGTGCACACTGACAAACCCAAAAACAAACTGCAACACTATATGTGCTCAATAATTCAGCATCTAATACAGCATCTGGACTTGCAATCGAGGCATCGTTGGTATCACTGTCATCAGAGGACGATAGACTTGTTTTCCTGGCCTTTCGGCTTCATCCCACGTTTTTAATAATGTTAAAAAAAGAAAGGTTAAAAATGTTTCAACTCACCAATGAATTAGAGCACGGGATTAGAAGTAACACCATTATTCTTGGTGCCACTTTTTGAAGTAGAAATACAAGACATTGAGATGACTTTTATCCTGAAGTACGCTGAGCATAGTCTTCATTAACACCGTGGAAGCACACTAGAGCATTGAGATGTGTTACACAAAGCTCGCGCCGAGGGGAGAAAACTTTCCTTCATCACACACCTGCAAACACAGAACGTTTTGACTTAACTTGGCTGCAGGCTCTGCTTGTCTTCTTATATCGGCCAAACATGGATGGCGCGCTTGACGCACAGTGCGTCGCCTTTGCAAATTCACAATATTTTCTCGTGTTTTTGCAGCATAACTTATATTGCTTGGCATAGATTGTTATAAACTTTAAAAATTATCTGAAGCTTGTTTTTAGCATAGAACTTGGCTCATGGCTTAGCCTGCTGAACCAAGGAACGTGTTAAAAACAAAAAAGTATTAAGTTCTAACATGCAGCGATATGTCCCTGTGCCACACATCGTTTGAATTTCTTTTTGTGAACGGCTGGCTCTATGCCGGCTGTGGTTTTGTGGCAGTGTTTTTATTGTTATTATTCTATGGTGTCAATTCCTTCGAAGCATCATGTGTCTGCAAGTATTTCTTTGGCGTGTTTTACCAGGGCCAGTTCATGAAAATTCCTGCTGAATGGTGTGCTGTGGTGCCTGCGTAGCTCTTGCTGATTGCCTCGCTGTCCGCCATGTCATGGTGCTGTGTAGCTCTGGTCGATCAGTGCCCCGTCATCGAACTCCTCTGAACGTCTCCCCATCTTTCCTATCCTCATTTTCCTGTGTGATGAGTGCTTCCTTTTCTTTACCTTTCTAGTTATCTAGACATGCATACAAATGGTCACGCATACATAAAATGCTAGCTGTAGGTCATCAGATGGATATGCATGCCATACTGGTTCTTTTAGAGACATCACTGCTAGATATTATAACAACAAAAGGCCAATGGCTGCCACCTATTAGGCCCACAGCTATTGATTGTTTCACCAAAAGAGATACACTCTCCATCTGTCCAGTATTAAACTAAAATAGATCTATTTTACCTATACGATAACAATTGGTAGCAGCTTTTACCTATACAACTCGTATTCATCTTATACATCCACTACCAACCCCATAGGAAACCGACCTGCAACACCTACTTTACCAATACAACTTCTATTTGCCCAATAAAATACCAATATGTATGGATATTAGTTTTATTGTCCTGTTAATGACATCTATTTGAGGAATACAATTGTCACAGCTGTCACAGGCCGTGTTATTCAGCAGGGCAGACAGACTGTTCGGTACTGCTTTGTAGGTAGGTGGGCTAACACAGTCGACACTTGCCATTGGGCATCGTTTACCAAGTGCTGATCGCCTATAGCATGACGTGGCATTTGAGTATTCTGAATTGCGACTCAGTCTGCCGATTAAGGCGGGGAAGGTACGCTGAGCGGCATAACTAGGTTTCATGTTGCATGTTCGGCGTAGCTACAAGAGGCGAAAAGAAACAGCGACTGCTAGCTGCTATGAAAATAATGGCAGAAAGCTTGTCCACCACTGTTTGTTATGTTTATCGTCTGGAAGCCGTGCGCTGCACTCGGAACACACGCAATGCGATAGCGCCATCCGAAGCGAAATTCTAGTGCTACAGTGACGCCAGCCGAAGGTACAGATAGTCCAAGCATGTTGAAGTTCGAGTGAAGTGCAAGCCACGATTTATGATGTTCGTGCTTCTTTTCATAGCCAATTCTGCGAGGGTCATCAAAAATATCCCAGAACAAATAAGGGCCTACACAGGATCACCAGCAACATAAGTCCGGATCATGGGAGGCCTATATGGAGGCTCACTGAAAGTTTCAGACATCATAGTCAAACGATTCAAAAACGATCCAAACAACATGCCTAGCCGAAAAAGTGAATGACGTCACTTTCGTGCAGTGCAGGAGCCGTTTCTTGTTTAGGTGGCTCGTGCACCGCAGCAGTCTCTGCCATACACTAAATCAGGAGTATAAGGGGACATGGGATGGACATCATTTGAGGGCAGGGAAGCTATAGCGGCAAGATAGAATTTGAGAGAAACAGAAGAGGAGCATTGGCCTAAGAAGCTATACACGAAGAATATGTAGAAGCAAAATGGAGGTAGTGAATGGGAAAGCTATCAAGCAAATACTATAGGACAACAGGAACGTGTCGCGTGGACTTATCCTTGTGTATGAGTGTGGTGCCAAGAGTCATTGGGGTTCAGCAATTCAAGATGACGCTTTGTGGTGAGTGATCCAAACACATCATTATTTTCGTACGAATTGTCTTGCCTCTCGCAGCTTTTGCAGCTAGAACTATAAATAATTCGCTCTTTACCTTTTCATCCAACCTTATTAGGCTAACCTTAGATATATTTACTAGTACGTATATGTGATTCCCGACTGAGTGCCACTGTCTACTTCTATACGTATTTACCAGAGTTTTAATTGCTACTCCAAAACGCCAACAAAATAGGATACAGCCTTAAAGGCACGCAGCGGCTATCTATAGACTCCGTGCACTGAGACTGGTGCGCCACCGCGCGGCCGTCAGAGACGACAAACGTTGAGAGCCCGGGCTGAACGAAACACTCCCTCAGCGTTCGCTAGCTTGTAGTTTGTCTGAATCATGAACTGCTGCGTAGTCGATTCTACCAACAGGTACATGCCGTGTCCTGCGGGAACAAAGTTTCAGAGTTTCTCTACTTGTCCCTGCTTTATTTGGCAGCGAAATAAGTGGATCACGGCTGTGGGACGTAAGTGTTTAGTTCCCATTTCCTCTGCCATCTAGCATTCTGTCGATGCTTGCTTGAATTGGTCTGAGACGCCCTCTGCAGGTCTGATGATCCTGGGTGATGTTCTTGCAGCCATAGAGCTGGTGAGAAAAGAAACGCATGCAAGAACTTTTATTTCAGATCAAGGCTGAGAGGACGTTTTAATGGACCTTATTAATCACTACCTCGTTGTGTACAGTTCGCAGTTTTGAGGAATGCAATGCGAGGTCAGTTAGTGCTTTCCTGAGTTGATGGGTCCTTCAGTGAAGAGGCGAACTAAGTTATGTAGCATTTTACCGTAAACACAAGTAGCCACCCAGCAGCGTATATGCACTCGATAGAATCAAGCTAGTTCGTCAGTTGGTTGGGTGGTTCTTATTAAGCTGGCGCAAGGCACCATGGGGGACCGGCCATGATATGGGCGGTGCCTTGTAATATAAATGATTTTGTTTATAAATCTCAAAATATTTAGCAATAGATCATTTTCTAAATAACTAATTAGCTTAATTCGCAAAAAAAGCATAATGTCGTTGAAAAATAATTTTCACTTACATAACCTTACAATTCAAGTCGTTTCATCTCGCGTAGCAAATCGCATATGGCATCCCAAACGCTCCCGTGTCTAAACCCAAGTGCTGTAGCTCCAAAGAAAATAACCGCCAGAAGTAATCAATTAAGTGCCATTTTTCGGATTTGGTTTATTCAAAATCCTTTTTCTTTGACTGTTAAACAGTCTGCATGTTAGGAAGAAATGATACAGGGCGTAGAGTATAGCAGAACTATACATGGTAAGAAACGATGCTTTGCAAAAGCCGTAGTAACGGATGTGCATGTCGGTGTTTGTTTCGGAAAGCAACATAAACAGCGCAAGAAGTTATAGTGAGTGAGAGACACGTGTCGGTGGCCGAAGTGACTGTGCCGTCGCCGTCAGCACTCAACAAGGTGAAGCGAAAGACGAAACGAGGCATGCGCCGTCCTCTCTGGACTAAATCTTCTCACGTTCTCTTTCTCACTCGCGCCTTAAGCTCTTAGCAAGAGCTGCGCGAGCGGCGAGGTAAAGACTATGATCATGATGAGCGATGATGATGCCACGACACTTTCAAGCAAAGCACTTCGTGAGACTCGGTGGCTGAAAACGAGCATGCCAGTTTCAACAGCAAGTGGCCGTGTAGCCACCGATATTTCTAAACCCCCTGAGTATTTTGCAAGTACACAGGTAGTGGGCAAGCACCCATAATAATCTAAGCTCAAAAGAATGACAGCTTGCCGCGATAGTTATGCAGCAAGCCTCATGCATTACGCACACCTGACACACGCATTTAGCCGTCATTCCCGGTGACAGGCAGCAAAACGCTCAATAACTAAAAACTGTGGCCGCTTTCAGGAAGGTTTTCCCAATTATTTATCGCGGAAGATTGTCCCCCTGCGATATCTTTGAATTCTGCTCAAAGCACGCACTAACCCGCCGCCCGCCACTGGCACTTGTGCCACCATAGCTATCAAAGCAATTAGGCGCTGCTGTCTGCTACGACTCTCAATGTTGCGCGCCCGCCACACCACTGAACCTTGATCCGCAAGGTGGCATAGCAGCGCTGGCATTTGGATGTACTCAGGAAATTGTAGAGAACACCATGGAGGGCGAAAATCTCGTCATTATTCATGCTGGGCTCAATGATGTGTTGAAGGGCAAGGATCAGAACCTTCAGAGACAGTTAGAAGATGGGATGCGTAAGCTTCGAGAAGCCTCTGGGAGTGTGCACGTTAGAAGATGGGATGTGTAAGCTTCGAGAAGCCTCTGGGAGTGTGCACGTGACCATATGCACAGTCCCAGAGGTCTGGGGGCAGTCTCGTGGGATTGAAAGGTGGGTAGTGGAGGCCAATTGTGTGATCAAGGGTATGAGCCGGCAACTCGGATACAACGTAATGGAAGTTAACCAAGATGTGTACGAGCCCGGCGCTCGCCCCTTTGCACAGGATAGCATTCACTACGGTGATGCAACGGGCAGAGAAAGGTCGGTAATAGAATGGGTTGTCAAGCCACAGCTTTTTAAGGGGGACCCAGAGCCCTGAGGCCAACAGTGTAGCCAAAGACGGTTCTAAACAGGCACAAATATTCAAGCCACACTGAGTCCGTGGGAGAAGAAATCGACGTAGGCGCAAGGGCTGAGCTAAGTCAAACGTAGGCTATATTAACATGCAGGGAGGCAGGAATAGGTTAAAGTGGGAAAAGATAGAAGAGCAGTTAAGGCAGGAGGAGCTGATGGTATATGGGGTTGTGGAGACACGTCTTCGTGACATGGAGCTACCATCTTACAATCCGGACTACGTATGGGAATATTGCAATCGAACAGAAGGCAGCAGAAAGGGTGGTGGAATTGGTGCATTCATACATAAGAGCATGGGTTGGCAAAGAATCAAGCAGGGATGCGTGGAACATTTATGGTTAAGAGGGAAAGTAGCTTGGCCGATGACACTCCTTGGTTTGGTGTACTTGTGGACGGGAGCAAAGGCCAAAGAGGAAAACCAGGCAATGGTGGAGTGTATATCAAAGGACATTGAAAAATTAGGAGCAGAATGCGAGATAATTATACTAGGAGATATGAATGTGCACATAGAAGATATAGATAGGTATACCGACCTAACAGGCAAGATGATCATGGATATGTGTGAAAGGCATGATTTGATAATTTGCAACAGTACCGAAAAGTGTGAAGGGCGAATAACATGGGAGGTAGGAAGTCTGCAGTCGACGATAGATTACGCACTGATGTCACATAGGATGTATGATAAGCTCAGGGGAATGCACATAGATGAAGGTGGCTCCAGAAGTCTGGGTAGTGATCACAAGCGTATCAAGCTAAGTTTTGGAAGAGCAGAGAAAGTGGGAAGGAGACAATATGAGCAACTACAGGAAAATTTTCATTCAAAAAGGCAAATAGAAATTTCTACTAAACAAATTGATAAAGTAATCACTGAGGATAATAAAACAGTGTGCACATACACAAATATAATTAGACTGTTTGGGCTAGAGCTTGCTAAGGCACCTGACAAGTCACCCCGAAAAAGGAGACACAAGCCCAAGAGTTGGTGGGATGAGGAAGTTAAGAGATCCATAGCAAAACGTCAGGAAGCCTCTAGGAAACACAGACATGCTAAGCAGCGGGGTGAACCAACACATGATGTTGAGAGAAAATGAGACAAAGAAATGGACAACAAGGGTGACAGAAAAATTTCAACAAAGTGCAATATGCACCTTCATAGGCAAGGATAGATCAAGTGGTGCAGTGGCTCCATTTTCACAAAGAGAGTGGGAAAGGGCTGAGAAGAGGTTTCCTAGTAGTACATCAACAGGTCCTGACGGCATCCTAATTATGCTGATAAAGGAATTGGGTCCCAAGTCAAAGCAGACTCTGAGATACATAGTGAGCAAAGCAATAATCGATTGTAAAGTCCCTGATCAATGGATGGAAACTTAGCAGGATGAGCATGATCTATAAAGGAAAGGGGGACAAAGCTGACATAAACAACTACCGTCCTATGACAGTGACATCAGTGGTCTACAGGCTGGCGATGCAGATTATAAAGGAAGACTGCAGGCATTAATAAGAGATGCGGGGAGAACTGCAGAATGGGTTTCGGAAACACACAAGGTTCGAAGACAATCGGTTCTCAATGATGCAGTGCATCGGAATAGCAGAAAAGAGACAGAGGCCCCTGTGGCTAGCATTTTTGGATATCAAAGGAGCGTACGATACCATGGTTCAAGAGGACTTGTGGGGAATACTGGACACACTAGGTGTGGAAGATGGAGTCACTAATCTTTTAAAGGATATCTATAAAGGTAACAAGGCAGTTATAAAGTGGGAAAAACAGGTATCCAAGCCTGCAGGGGTAAAACGGGAGCTTAGGCAGGGGTGCCTTCTGTCACCCTTGTTATTTATGATGTATCTACAAGGATTAGAGGCCAAATTAGAGGTAAGTGGACTGGGCTTCAACCTCTCTTTCGTCAAACAAGGAAAACTCATTGAACAGGCACTACCAGCATTGATGTACGCAGATGATATAGTGCTAATGGCCGACAACAAGGAAGATTTGCAGAGATGGATGGGCATCTGCAGTAATGAGAGAAATAGGTTAGATTTCAGATTCGGTAAAAAGAATCAGCAGTCAAGATTTTCAATGATAATGAAGGTAGTGAGCTTAGAATACAGGAGGTCACGCTAGAGATAACAGATAAATGCAAATATCTGGGCGTATGAATAAGCAATGGGACCGAGTACCTAAGGGAACACGAAATATATGTAACGACTAGAGTTATCAGGAATGCCGCAGGAATGAAAAATAGGGCACTGTGGAATTACAATAGGTGTGATATTGTGACAGAAATATGGAAAGGGGTCAGGGTTCCTGGTCTGACGTTCGGCAATGCGGTCTTGTGCATGAGATCAGAAGTTCAAGCAAGATTAGAAATTAAGCAAAATGGAATAGGTAGGCTTGCCTGAGGAGCTCACGGAAATACACCAAATCGGGGAGTACAAGGTGGTATGGGATGGACATCATTTGAGGGCAGGGAAGCTAGCAGCAAGATAAAATTTGAGAAGCAATTGAGAGAAATGGGGGAGGAGCGTTGGTCTAGACATGTATTCAGCTACTTGTACATGAAGAATGTCGATACAAAATGGAGGAAGCAAACCAGAAAATTGACTGGTAAATACTTAGAAAACAGCAGGGGGCCAAACCAAAAAGAATTATCAGTTAAGAAGAAGGTGAAGGAAGCCAAGACCGATATGTGGAGAATTGGCATGATTAAGAAGTCTGCACTAGAGGTCTATCGAACTTTTAAGCAGAAAATTGCCAAGGAAAGGGTCTATGATAATACTCGGGGTAGTTCTCTACTGTTTGAGGCCAAGACGGGAGTATTGCGAACGAAGACATATCGGGCCAAATACGAAGGGGTAGACGCGGTATGCAGTGCATGTGGAGAGGAGGAGGAAACTGCCGAACACATTATAATGTTCTGTAAAGGGCTTCACCCTATATACAGTTCAGCATGATAGCGCAGAGTTTTTCAAAGCACTGGGGTTTAGAGACAGGGAGGGCAAACTAGACCTTAAGCGGGTAGACTTAACTAGAAGAAGGTTCTCTGATTGGTGGCTAAAGTCAAGGCACGAGTGAAAATTAAACCCTTCACTGCAAAGTGCCAGTCCTCAACTTCACTATTTAAAGGGGAAAAAAAGATAAACCTAGTGGTTAGTTTACTACGTATTACGGCTAGGGGGCGTTAGCCGCCGCCCGATCTAGAGAAAAAAAAAAGACAAGAAAGGACACTCCGCGAAACCTCGCCTCAGGAAGTGCGTCATGATACTAGGGTGGCTAGAATGGGGAGGTGTGATGACTGAGGCGGCGGCCTCTTGCCTAGCGAGGCCCCTCTGCGCGTTCTCGCCGCTGGGGGGAAATTTGGCGCGTCAGTCTGGGGCGCTGTTGGCATGTACCGACTGTGAGCATGTGTTGCTTGTGTCTCGTAGGTGACGGAGCAGCGCAAGTTAGCGGTCGCTGTTCGCGAAGTACGGCCTGCTTTTTCTATCACTTCCCGATTTCTTGAAGGAGATGATGTCAGCGGTTGTCGTCGATTTTTGAACCGCTCTGAAGCATGCCGTCGACGAAAAAAAAAAAAAAAACGCAGATGTGGTGCTTTATTCCAGGTTGCGACGCCGGCTACAAGTCCTGCGGTGAAAGACTGTCTCTCTTTCGTGCACCTCCCCGTCTGAAAATGAAGCACCAGCTTGTGACGACGTTACACTACCTGTCGAAGCAGCAGAGGTTGCGATTGACCACGCTGACTACGTTTAAGAACGCAGTGATGACCGCCTCACCTATTATATTGCAGGATGTGTAGCCAGGAAGCAGATCTTCTCAACCCAATGCGAAGCTTGCAAAGTATGCCTGCCTCGTGACACGAGATAGTGTGACGGACAAATTGCCAGCAGAAGCGTGTAAAAAGTGGGACATGGGGGGCCTTCTTTACCTCCCTGTCCGTCCATACAGTCTAATCAAAACCCTTTAGGATAGACTCGTGTATTTAGCACCACGCGCTTGCACACCAAAGTAGTGAAGGATTTTTTGCACCTAGCAGTCAATGTGCCACAAATTGGCTGCAGTGAGCATTCAGCTTCTTTAACAACATCGGTTGTCAGGTTCTACAGCATTGCGCGTGTCCATTTTCTGCTGAAAATGGACACATTTTCTGCAGAAAATGGACAGGAAGGTGAAGCCCTGTGTTATGTAATGTTTTAATGTACTGTTTCCAATAAACTTGTATCAAGCCACCAGTCTTGTAGTCTTGTACTTTATTGCATTTTTCTGCCGCACTGCATAAAAACTGCATTGACTTCCACTCTTTAAAATACTATTGCAATCGAAAATGAATAACAAATCTGCGAGCGACACACGCAGGGTTGTTGCCACCTACTGGTCTGCGGGAGAGATTCCTCTTAACTATTTTTCGTGTGACAAGCGCGCCCGCCTCGCAACAAGTGGCCGCGAAACCCACGCTCTGTATCGACTGCGTGGTTTGCGCTTGTAGATTACACGTGCAAGTTTCTCGACGTCAACAACATAATTGAAAAGACTACAGCGGTAAACCTGAGCGCGGTCGAATCATTTACCCGCCCAGAGGCAAGTAGACGATGCGAGAAAAGCACAGCGCCCCCACCGGCAGCGCCACCGCGCGGCAGGAACGCGCTTTTGGGCCAGCCTCCGGAGGCTGGTCATCACACCTCTCCATTCTAGCCACCCTAATGATACGTAACAAACCAAACGTCAAAGAACGCAAGCGCAAAAAAAAAACCAATTATAATCAATGCAACAAAATTGTTTTTACAAAATAATAATTATACGCCCAAATCTGGTATGTTCTTTATACATAAAAACAATTTATTCAACACACCTTACGCGTTTATTTTTCTTGAGCTGTACTGTCATAAACACCATCCAACCAGCGACAAGCCCATGCATGACTGACAGCGGGAAGCTTTCGTCGCTTTCGTCAACGTCGGCTGCGTCGGCGTTTTCGTGCGTGAGATAACCAAGGAGGATATAAAAACCTGCAAGTTTTTTATATCCTCCTTGGAGATAACAGGTGAGGCACGTTTTCAGGCAAGGTTAGCCACTGTAGCAAGGTTCCTTTTGGCGTTGCATAAGTTTGTTGCCAGACTTTGGGGTAGCTGTTGCCAGACTGCCTCATACAAAAACGCCACAACTACAAAAGAAAACTTTTTAGCCAAATTCAGCGGCAATTCGGCAACAATCATTTTTCCAATCTGGCAACCACTTATGCAACGCCAAAAGGAATCTTGCCTTGTTTCTTACGTGGCGTCTCATTCACGCAGTTGTAACCTTTTTCTGAAGCTTGTAAGGACGGGGAGGTTCGCTAAAAAGAAAGTTTGCGGCTCTATGCGGCGGCTAGACGGGAACATTGTGCTACGTATGTAGTATAGCAAAGACGGCACGGCGTCAAGCCGAGGCGACGCGTGCTGCGTCTGCCACGGACGTGAGCGTCTGTGCGCTATGCATAGCTGGGCAGCTAGGTCATAGGCTCGGTGGCTCGGTGCAAAATATTGAGGAGCGTTCGCTGGGCCTCGCATGCTTCACGACGCGTTTCCCGAAGGCTCGGAACACGAATAATTCTTGGTGTGCCGGAGGCAAATCTGGACTAGCGAAGTGGCCATCTTCGTTTCTTCGGTAGCCTTGTGCCACTAGTGCAAGCTGCTCACAAATTTTTTTGACGTTTCCAATATAATTTTACCGCACGAATTTCAACTACTATTTTTCTTCCCAATGTACTGCTGATACTGCGTACGCACGAAGGTGTTCTAAAGTTCCCAGGCCGCGATACCATTGCATTGCAAGGGATAGCGGCCTGGAAACTTCTGAAGATCTTTGTACGTGGTCTTGACGTCTATCTTTGTAAGTCAGAGTTTTATGGGTCAGAGATGTATCACTGGTTTTGTATTGTGCATCGATTAGCTAATCATTCAAAGGGGTTTGCTGGTACACTTATGACGTGCACATATCTTTTTCGTAATTTGACAGCGAAGCATCCACTTACTAACATTTTCAGACCGCGCTGATGCCATGCCGTCCGGCGGTCCAAGCTACGGCAGCTACTGCTGTGTATCGTAGTGCTTCAACAATGGCAGAACCCACAAGAAGCCTGGGACGAGTTTCTTCCGCATACCACGGGACGGCAGGTGTGTTAAAGCTTTTGTATGGTTTGCATGTCTTTAGGCTTACTGTTCGTACTTGCTCAGTGAGGGTAACAATAAAAAATCACTATTCAAGCACTTCCCCTTTCAGCTGATAGTTCATTGCCAATGCAGGATGAAAGCATGGATGCAGTATGCTGGACACGACGATCTCCTGAGTAAGCCGGCCTACAAACCCTGTACGCAACGTACAGGGTTTGTAGAGACCATTTTACTGTTCAAAGTTTCATGGACCCTGGGCACACAAGGCTTACAAGAATGGCTGTTCCCAGTGTGCAACCAGCTGCACCTTGTAAGTGATTGACTGAAACTCAAATATGGGCAATAGCAGCGACTTGTATTGATGTTGTAGGCCCGTGTACTCAGATTTGGGTGCATGTTAAAGAACCCCAGGTGGTCAAAATTTCCGGAGCCCTCCACTACGGCGTCTCTCATAATCATATGGTGGTTTTGGGACGTTAAACCCCACAAATCAATCAATCAATCAAGCCACTTGTATTGAATCAGTGGCGACAATTAACCGCGAAGATCTTTGTAGCCGATGGAGAAACCTCACTATAGAAGTAACACTTGCAAAGTCTTAAATTTTGTGAATTGTGGGCTATTACCTTCCTAATAGCAGCTTTACATTTCTGTCATTTTTTGATGCTCTTGACCTGCGCAACTTGTTTTGAAAGACTTTAAACTATTTCACGTTATCTTCAAGCCTGAGTGCACATGTACATATACCTTTCATCAGTGAAAGCTGGCACTGTTGATAATTCCAAAAATCACAAATTACTTGTTTCCTAGTTGGTGCCTTCTCTTTTCTTCCACGTTCGACCAATTTATGCTGCAACGAGCAAGGTTGCGTAAAAACAGAGGTTATTATTCGAGAAACGTTAGCTGCAACAAGCTGGTACAGGCAGGAACCCGGCAAGCACGAGCCACACAGGGACGTCAGCGTCTTCTTTCACGCTGGCACAGAGCTGGCGCCACTATACTTCGGTACAATTACTCCTCGCGCAGAAAAGAGCCAACCTGGCGACCTAGGGAAAGGAAACGACAAGGGGGTCATAGCACGGTTTGAGGTGTGATACGTGTACTGTTTCACGCCCACGGCAGCGTTGGTCCGAAGGTGGATCAATGGGCTCAACTTCATAGTTGACAGGAGATGTTTGCTGCACCACATGGTAGGGGCCATGGTATTTCGACGAAAGCTTCGGGGAAAGACCGGGAGGGGTAGACGGGACCCAGAGCCAAACCAGCATTCCTGGGTTATAGTCTACAGTAGACGCAGAGGAATTGTGGTCAGTTTTCTGGCGCCATTGGTCTTGTGCGGTAAATGAGCGAGCGAGTTGACGACACTCTCGGGCTTAAGCAGCTGCTTCGGAAACAGGCGTCGCTTCGGAAACGTCAGGCCTGTAAGGGAGAATGGTGTCCATGGAGCATGATGGCTCACGTCCGTACAGGAGGAAGAAAGAAAAGCCAGTGGTTGTTTGCGGCGCAGAGTTGCACGCATACGTGACAAAAGGGAGCACTTGGTCCCAATTGGTGTGGTCGTCAGAAGCGTACATGGCAAGCATATCTCCAAGGGTACGGTTAAAGCGTTCCGTCATGCCATTGGTTTGAGGATGGTATGCCGAGGATTTCCGATGGACAGTGTGACATGCCTTGAGCAGCTCGTCGACGGCGTTCGAGAGAAACACGCGTCCACGGTCACTCAGTAATTCACGAGGTGCACCGTGTCGCAAAATGAGATGGTGAAGAAGAAAGGACGCAACGTCTTTCGCAGTGGTAGCAGGCAGCGCAGATGTTTCAGCGTAGCGTGTCAAATGATCGACGGCGACGATAATCCACCGGTTGCCTCGAAGAGAGTTGGGTAGAGGACCATAAATATTAATTCCGACGCGGTCGAATGGTCTCGCTGGGAAGGTTAAGGGTTGCAAAGGGCTAGCAGTGCTGTGAGAAGGCGTCTTGCGTCGTTGACACGTGGTGCATGACCGAACGTACTGGCGAACGTGCCGATACATGCCGCGCCAGTAGTATCTTAGACGAAGGCGAGAGTAAGTCTTAAATACTCCAGCGTGACCACACTGGGGGTCATCGTGAAAAACAGCGCAGATGTCCGAACGCAAATGACGAGGGATGACAAGGAGCCACCTACGGCCATCCATCACGTAATTGCGGCGATACAACAAGCCTTCATGGACAGCAAAGTGTCTTGCTTGATGAGAGAGGGAGCGTGAAGTCGTTTCTGACAAACCGTGAGAGAGGACGTCGAGCAAAGAATTGATCCAAGGATCCTTGCGCTGTTCGGATGGCATGTCAGTGATGCTCAACGATGACGAATCGCAAATGGCAGTTGATAAGCAGGCAAGGTCAGGAGGCAGTGGAGAACGGGATAGTGCATCGGCGTCTGAATGTCTGCGTCTTGAGCGATAAACAACACGGATATCGTATTCCTGATGGCGTAAAGCCCAACGCGCGAGCCGGCCAGTATGATCTTTCATGGACGCTAACCAGCATAAGGTATGGTGATCTGTGACAACATCAAACTGGCGTCCGTAAAGGTAAGTGCGAAATTTTCCTATAGCCCAAATGATAGCCAAGCACTCCTTTTCCGTGACGGAATAGTTGGACTCTGCCTTCGTTAGGGTACGGCTGGCATAGGCGACAACGTACTCGTCGCAGCCATCCTTGCGTTGAGCGAGAATGGCACCGAGGCCGACACCGCTTTGCATCCGTGTGAATTTCAGTGGGTGCCTTGGGATCAAAGTGGCGGAGAATCGGCGGAGACGTGAGTAGCCGGCGCAGCGCCGTGAATGCGTCATCGCAGTGGGAATTCCAGCCAGAGATGTCCGCGCTATGGGAGAGAAGCTGAGTCAGGGGAGCAATTATAGAGGCGAAATTGCGAATGAAACGCCGAAAATAGGAACACAAGCCTACAAAACTACGAAGCTCCTTTAGGGTGGTAGGCTTGGGGTACTCGGCAACGGCACGCAGTTTGGCAGGGTCTGGCGATATTCCTTCTTTTGAAACGACGTGGCCGAGAATTGTGAGTTTGCGGGCGCCAAAACGACATTTCTTGAAGTTTAGTTGCAACCCGGCTGCCGTAAGGCACTGGAGAACTTGTTCCAGACGGGAAAGATGAGTTTCGAAATTCGCCGAGAATACAACTATGTCGTCTAAATAGCAAAGACAGATGTGCCATTTAAGTCCCCTGAGGACACTCTCCATCATTCTTTCAAAAGTCGCAGGCGCATTGCAAAGACCGAAGGGCATTACATTAAATTCATATAAGCTATCAGGGGTCACAAACGCCGTTTTTGGACGGTCTGGTTCAGCCATTGGCACTTGCCAATATCCAGAGCGCAGATCCAGTGAAGAGAAAAACTCCGCACCTTGAAGGCAATCCAAGGCGTCATCAATGCGTGGCAGGGGATAAACATCCTTGCGTGTGATGTTGTTTAGTCAACGATCATCATCATCATCATCATCAGCCTGACTACGTCCACTGCAGGACAAAGGCCTCTCCAATGTTCCGCCAGTTAACCCGGTCCTGTGCTTGCTGCTGCCAATTTATACCCGCAAACTTCTTAATCTCATCTGCCCGCCTAACCTTCTGTCTCCCCCTAACCCGCTTCCCTTCTCTGGGAATCCAGTCAGTTACCCTTAATGACCAGCGGTTATCCTGTCTACGCGCTACATGCCCTGCCCACGTCCATTTCTTCTTCTTGATTTCAGCTATGATATGCTTAACCC